TCCTCCTCTCTCTCTCTGCCTGCCTCTCTGCCTACTTGTGATCTCTGTCTGTCAAATAAATAAATAAAATCTTTAAAAAAAATAATAAAGAGCCTGTCTCCCAATACAGTCCTCTGCAGACGTGCTGGAGATCAGGGCTCCACCGTACAAATTTGGGGCAGGTACAATTCAGCCTGTAACAATCCATGGCTGTCTTCATTTTTTGCTTAAATTGTCCCACATTTGGTCATTGGAGGCTCCCGTGCTCTTTCCCATGCTCCCGCTAATCCGGAGCACACTCCTGCTTTCTAGTACCACACGGTGTTCCGGGCACATCTTGTACTTTCTCTGCCCCAAGCCTGAAGTTATGCATTTCTCCGAGGAGCCCTGTCATTCCTTTTACTGGAGAACGGTAGTGCTGTCACCCTCTAGATGATTTCATTGCATGCTAGAATTGGGGAGTCTCTGCTGGAGTGGCTAAGAGCCCAGGCTTGGATTTGAATCCAGCTCAGTCTAATAATCCCTCATCGAGATTCAGTTAGTCTCTTAATCTCTAGAAGCCTGTTTCTATTTCGGTTGAATGGGGCTAATGCTCTCCACCTCCTCAGATGGTTATAAGGATCAAGTGATGCGTTACATAAAGCACCGAGTCCAGCCCCTGGCTTATAATTAGTGTCTAATAATGATGCACTTTCAATGTTCGCTGAGCCATTTCTAGAGGCGAAGATCCAATAGCACATTTTCATCTGGGGGATGGGCAGGTTCATAAAGGGATTCCCAGGAACATCTCAGGGACCGCAAGAATAAACTGTCTGTATCAATTTGAGGAATTCTGTCTTGGGATCACAGCTGGCATTTCCACCAAAGTCCAGGGAAACCCACCCTGCAGCATCTCTTCTTGGCTTTGGACTACCACCAACATCCCCAGCGCTCTGGGTACCTGAAGGGGAGAGGACTGTGGGTGAGACATTGTGTCTAGATGTAATTTTCCATCTCATAGACCCTAGGGTGGCTGGGCCACCTCCCTGGGAACCAGGAGCTTTATCTCGAATTCCTTCTCCACTTGGAAGACCACCTCCAGGAGTGGGTAGTGTGGCGTGGGGGAGGGGTGGTGTGTCAAGGATTTTAGTTTTCAGTTGCCAGAGTAAAGGGGCACTCGTGGTGAGTGAGAGAGGTCGTACCTACGAGGAAGATACAGTGCTTCTGTTCTGGTTTTTATGACACTTGTTAATAATCCCTTTGTCTTTTTTGCAGAGAGCACGGATAACTTTGTCTCCAGTAAGTCTGCTTTATCTTTTGCTTTGAAACTGCTTTATTCTGGTACTTTCGGTGATTACGGATTCCGTGTAGCCCTCTTTCCTGTTCCGCGGCCAGCCCCAGACCCACGGCAGCTGAGAGCATCTCAGGGAACTGTGAAGGGGAACTGGAGAGTAGAAATACTTCTTGGGTAGTTCCATTTGCACAACTCTTGGTCTCCATGCCTCAGTTTCCCCCACAGAGTTCCCTAAGGTCTGAGCAAGTTGTGGGTCTCTCTCCCTGCCTGGATGAGAAGGGGTGGTGTCAGGAAGGACATGGGGTTTCACATGCCTAGGTAGACCTCTGGTGATCGTCTCATGTGTCCTTGTGGAGAGAAGGGGGGCCCCTAAACCCATGTTTCTTACCTGCTCTGAGGGGCCCAGAATCTGGCTGGGACTCACCTTGTGAGTAATTTACAAGGTCTCCTGATAGGCTTGTGTGTCCTCAAGTGGAATTATTTTGTTTTTTAAGTAGGCTCCATGTTCAGTGTGGAGCCCAACGTGGGGCTTGAACTCACAATCCTGAGATCAGGACCTGAGCTGAGATCAAGAGTCGGACTCTTAACTGACTGAGCCACCCAGGCACCCCTAAAGTAGAACTATTGAGGCTCAATTTAAAAGCAATCTGGGGCTAGGACCAGACATCCCACCGCCCCCCCACCCCCGCCAATTTGGTGTTTTGCTCATGGATGGTGGGGAAATCTGTATTTATGGCTTTTCCCTTTCTCCCCATGGGAGACTAATGGGAGCAGCACTGTCGTTTCTGCCCTATGTGTGGCCTGAGGTGGTGGACAGTCCTGTTGAGGACACCCCTTACTGCTGGGCATGGATGTGCAGATTATCTGTGATTCCTTCATTTGTCCTTGATCTGAGAGGACTTGTCATCTCCCAGAATGTCCCTCCAAAGACTTCTGAATTGGGGCTGTTTCCTGCCCAGGAGATGATCAGAGATGGAGGACAGACCGGCTTCCCATCCCAGCCTTGCTGGAAAAGGTGGTGTTTCTGGGGCAGATGGACTTGCTGCTTACCTCGGGCGGCCACTGTGTTTTGAACTCCGTGGTAGGGGAGTGGACAGTGAGTTGTTCCTGGGGCCGTGGGTCTCCTGGTCTCACTGAGAAGTAAAGAGGGAGAAAGGAAGGGCATGGGAGAGCCAGGGACAGGGAAAGGAGGGTCCCTGGCAGAGGGTAGCCGAATGTCAACACCATCTGTTGTCATCAACAAAATGTGCCCAATCCACACCCTGGCCTGGATCCCAAACCATTTTTTTCTACTCCTCTGTACCTAGTAGTTCATGGCCTAGGTTGCCCAGGTGACATTCTTTACTCTGGAATGGAGGTAGGTGGGTGGCAGTGAGGGTCCTTTATTCCTCGTGGAGCCTGCCCTTGAGCTGGTCTCCAGGGACCTTTGCAAAGCCAGAGCAGGAACGCTTGTGGGGGCCCTGGGAGTCAGTGGCTGAGCCTCTTGTGGCTGGTAAGCTAACCACCCTCCTGGTCTGGTTGGTTTTCAGTCTACGACGTGAGCCCCACACCCATCACGGTGACCCACAAACCGGAGGAAGACACTTTTGGGGTAAGTCACTCCCGGATCAAGGGGATGGTGTTTACTGACTTCGTTTTTGGAGCTAACTTTCCAGAATTTTATCTTACTTGGAACCCCAGCATATGCGGCAGAAAAAAACTGCTCTGAATGACCTCCTTTCAGGTGGTTGAAACCTTCCTTATTTGATGAGAATAAGTCATTATTTGAGGAACTCTTTGAGGATCCGCTCCAAGCCCTAGGGTTCGGAAGAAAACCGTTTGAAAACCCCCACTCTGCTAGGAGCCTGGCTGGGCCTGATTCGAGGGCAATACTAACCACACAAACGTTTCACAAGAGTCAGAATTGCTCAGAGCAACCCCTTGCGTGGGTTTTTCCAGTCCCTCCCCCAACCCTCCCCTGCCTGACTCTCAGAGCCAGAGATGTCCCTGAGGAGGAGAGCAAAGGTGTTTTTTTGTTTTGTTTTGTTTTGTTTTTTAAGAGTCCAGATCTCCAGAACCTTCTGGAAGATATTCTGTAAAGATTATCCATGTGAAGGTGCAGAGGGATTTTTGCTAATGGAAACAACAAACAGTAGACAGAGACATCTTAGGCCTGCCCTTGCGTTGCTTGTGACGGATGGCCCGCAGATGAGAGGCTGAGCCACGGGACGTTCTCTCATCCAGCTGGGGAATTAATTCTCCTGTAATGTGCTCAAGGTCTCATGAGTTACTTCTGCCCAGGAACTGACTCAGTGGTGCGGGTTGGAGTGGGCTGCCGCGGCTCCCCCGATGGGACGATGTCCGTTTGCGCACGTGTGACTTTCCCTGGCCCGCGGGTTCTCGGTGACTGTGCTTACCTGCCCCCTCTCGGCCCCCCCCAGGTGTCCATCGCCGTGGGACTTGCTGCTTTTGCCTGCGTCCTGTTGGTGGTTCTCTTCATCATGATCAACAAGTACGGTCGGCGGTCCAAATTTGGAATGAAGGGTAAGGTGGGATTTTCCCTTGCAAGGGTCTCCTGGCCGGCGGGGGGTGGTGGAATTGGGTTCCTTTTGATCAAAAGAGGCTGTTTTATTCTCCCTTTGCTCCCCAAGAAGGCCTCCGCTGGTGGGCTGAAGGCGTCCTGGTGGAGATTCCTGTCTGCCCCTCACTGCTGGTGGTGATGGTTAGAGGCAATGTTGGTGTCCACGGGGCCCAGACTGTGGTCCGCCTGGCTTTGCCCTGAGACAGGGAAGCAGCATAGAGCAGGGCTGCTTGTTGAAGGAGGGTAGTTTGTGAAGGGAGTTGCTGAGAAAAAGGACTCCTTGTGTGAGTGGCTTGGTTTCACTCTTGCCTGCCCCCTCCTTCGGAGTTGTGCTGCGAAGGTATTAGCTAGCTAGATGTCGGGTGGTGGACCCCGGTGCTGGGACGTTGCCCACATGATGGCATTTCAGCACGTAGCTCTACACAAGGTCCCAGAGTGGATGCCAAGAGCAACACGATTGCTAAAATTGCTGGCCAGCTTCCACAATCCTGAGTCTTCAGCCCCCTTCTGGCTGGGGAGGGCTGTGAGACGAGGCTTCCCACCAGGGCTCGGGTGGGGGGAGTGGCACCAAAGGGGTTAACACGGTGAATTAGCACCCATCTGCCTGGTCTCAGGGATGGATCTGTCCAGATGGCTTCCGGGAGGCTGGGTACTGGTTCTCAAACAGAAACTGGAATTTAAAGACCTGCTCCCCACTGGGGTTTCCATTTTTGGCTAATGTTCGATGGGAGGTGGGTAGGGAAGGATGAGGAAAGGTTCAACAAACGGTCAGGTTGCTGAACTGGAATCCAGGGTTGAGAGCATGGGATCCAGAAAGATGAGTTTCTATAGCTTCTGCACATGAATCGGGATCTGTGAGGAGAGTCCTGACCTTGGGACTCGGGGACCGAAGAAGGGCATGTGAATGAGATCCACAGGGACAGTGGTCCCCTGGACTTATGCAAATGTTTGGGTGTACGTGGTGGGATAGGGGATGGTTTGGAAAGGAACTAGTCCACTCCTTGTGTTATAGTCTCAAAATATTCTGTGACTCCCCTAAAAGTTTAGAACACTGGCATTCAGCAAGAGATCCCTGTGGAAGGGTAGAAGGGCAGAAAACAAGAGGGCAGGCTGCCTGGCTTCTCCGAGGCTACCTACCTCTGTACCCTCTTTCTGTTCTTGCTTAAGCTGAACAAGTCAGAGCAAGGCAAGCCAGGTTTTCGTGAATCCTATGAAGTATTTGGACCCAGAGAAATACTTGTGCAGGCAAATTCTAGAGAGGCGATAGAAGTTTGGCCCAAAGCCCCACGACTTAAACAAGATCAGACCACTGTGAGGCACCTCGATGGGAGATGTTTTATCTGCCAGTATTCCCTGATGCCAAACAGGGCTCCACGGGCTTCGAAGATGAATCCTGCTGGTTGAGCGCCGAGCCTTCAGTCTTAGCCTAATCCCTGGGGCCGTGGCTTTGAGGACTGGCCTTATTGCTTGGGCAAAGTTTTCAGACCACGGGAGGAACCCTTTGACCATAGCTATTCCCTCCTTCCACCTGAGAAAACATGAGGGTGTCGGCCAAAGGGGAGAATGGGGCATTTCTGCTCCCCGCCAAGGAGGCAGCGCCACCAGCTGAGACCCTGTGACATGCTTGGCAGCGCTGTGAGAGCAGATTTTTCCTATTAATTGTCATCCGGTTTCTGGAACAGTGTGTCCCCATGTCGGATGGATTAGGCAGGATCCAGGGTGGTGCCTTCCCCTCAGCTGTCCTCAGAGCCTCTCCCAGCCCCTGCTCCCCTGTCCCAGAGCTGAGCTTCCTCCTTGGCCCTGGATGGCCCCAGAGAGCATGGCCCACCAGGTGGAGGGGAAGGTGTCCCCTCCTGGGGAGCCCAGCAGCCTGAAGGAGGGAGGCTGTACTTGGAGGCCGGATGTGGAGATGGGTCTAAGGCTGACCTTGTTGAGGTTGAAGCTGCCTGTCTGCCCTGGGCTTGGGCCTCATCCCAGGATGAGTGAGCATGTGCCCCAGGCTGCGCCCACCCCGATCCTTTGTTGCCAGTGGCATCCCGGTGCAAGAGAGAGTGAAGGTGTGGGTACCAGGAGGCCCCCCGACTCTGACTCGGGTGAACCCCGACCTCTTCAGAACCCGCCCGTCCTCAGCTTTGAACGTTCAGATCTGGGTCAGGCTCTGCCGTGCCACCTAATTGCTCCTTGCTTTTAGCTAAGTTACGCCGCCCCTCGCAGCCTCCCCTGCCGCCATGGGTTGGCTCTGAGCGTTGAGACATGTGTGGACCTGGCATATAAAAGGGGGCACCATGGCTGTAGTTCTCCCCTTCTTTTCTTCACGTGTAAGCGTCTCCTGGCTCCTTTCACTGTCCTTCTACGAAGGGCTGCCCTCCCAGGACTCGCGCACGCCCACCTCTGTCACTCGCCGTGTTTCGTCAGGATGCCTGGATTCTGCACTAACCGCAGTGCCTTGTCCTTCCCTTGCACACACGTCATCTGTCTGTCCTGCCAGGCCAGGAGCGACTTGGCAGAAACCACAGATCATTCAGTCCGGTGTGCCTGAAGCTTCTCACGGTGTTTGACAAATGTTCATTGAACTTAAGATAGATGACTGCATTTATAATCATTAAAGAAAAAACAAAACCAAAACCCAGCTTGTGAATCAGTAACGGGCCAGTAAGGGCTACTTTGGCAATGGAAGGGGTCTGGGCTGTGGGACGGAGAGTGGGGTTGATGGGGGGACGCATACGTAATACACAGCGTCCCCACCCGAGGGCCCGGAACTCAGTGTGTGCACGAGGAGGGATTGCTGGTATGAACTTCACTTCCTTCTGAGAAATAAGGAATAGACAAAAACACAAGGTTGGTGTGGCAAATACACCGCTTAGAATAAGCACCGCTTACAGTTTTGTTTTATGTTTGTGTCTGATGTTTTAGTCCTCCAGTAAAGAGATGAAACATTGCTGATAAAACCAAAAATGCTTTGTCCCCCCCATTCCCAGAGACGGCCACCAGCCTGGGCTTCATGTGTGTCCCTCAGTTCACTGTTTATGTCTCTCTCCTTGGTCTCTTCCTCTCTTTCTCTGTCGTCTCTGCACACCTGCCCTCCCCGCTTGGCTTTTTCCCAGCCAGACTCACGCCCTGCGGGCTCCCTCCACCCCACGGCGATGCTAGGGACCAGGTCTGGTAACCAGTTCATTTTTAAACTTTTGAAAAAATTGTAAAAAATATTTTCCATTTATCTATTTGGATTGCGCACAAGTGGAGGGGAGGGGCAGAAGGAGAGGGTGAAGCAGACACCCCACTGAGCAGGGAGCCCATCTAAGGGCTTGGAGCTCCATCCCAGGACCCCAGGATCATGACCTGAGCCAAAGGCAGATGCTTAACTGACTGAGCCCCCTAGGTGCCCCCGTTTTTGTACTTCTGTGTATATGTATACGTATGTTTGCTCTTTATAGGTCACAGATTGCCTACCTAGACCTCTAGACAACAGTTATTAGTGTATATATCTCTTATATTGATCTTATTAATACGTTTTATTTGGACAAGAGAACTTGTGCCATACCGGTTTTAACCAGTGCGATTAAAGCCCGCAGCTCCCCCAAGAGTGATCGCGCACAGTGTGCGATACGTGTGGACAGTGTACGTTCGGTCTACGAGAAAATCGACGCCTACATATGTGTGCGTATATGTGTACGTGGGTACACGCGCATTTACACAATACACGCCTCCGTGTGTTTAACTGACGCACGGGTTCACGCTCTTAGTCTCCTTCTGCATCTTGTTTATTTACCTGTCAGGTGTCAGAGGTCTCCCCATGTTGGTGTGCACAGGCATTCTACCAGACACTTAGTTTTTACCAGATGAAGATAATAACGAGATCTTACAGAAACAGATAGAAAAAGCACCATCTTGAACACCTCTGTACTTCTGTCCCCTGCCGTCTTGTTGATCAAGGTGGCCCTAGGAGCGGTCACACCAGCAGGGGAGCCGGTGTCTTGGATCCACAAATGTTTTGAAATGGCGCTGAGCCGGGGCAGTGGGGTTTCCTGAGGCTGTGGCTGAAGCCCAGGGTCTTACTTAGAGCAGCGGGGGATCATTTGGTTCCCTGTGGTAACTGACTTTCAGAACAGAAGCCTGCAGGAGCTGGGACCTGGAGGCTCCCTGCTGTGCGGGACGCTATCTCTTGAATTCCTGGGTGGAGGGAGAAATCAATAAGGCGGGTTGAGCCCGGAATGTGTGCAGGGCAAGAGCCATCCACTGGGAGGGACAGAAATACAGACAGATATTTCAGCATTTTATTTTATTTTATTTTATATTTTTAAAGATTGTGTTTATTTGTTTGGGAAAGAGAGAGTGGAAGAGGGGCAGAAGCAGAGAGAGAAGCAGGCTCCCCTTGAGCATGGAGCCAGATGCAGGGTTCTATCCCAGGACCGCCCCCCCCCCCAACACACACACCTTCCATCATGACCTGAGCAAAAGGCATGATGAAACCGTCGTTGAAACCAATGGAGACACCCAGGTGCCCCAGATGCTTCAGTGTTTTTGACGCTAAGGATGTTGTGCCTGTGGGCCCTGGGCCTGGACGTGATGTGGTTCAGAGTTTGCACCAAGCTCTCCCTCACAAGATCTGTTTCTGTCGGCCATCGGAAGACCATGGCAAGGATCTGGCTGGGGCTTTGTGGCAGCTGTGTGTACTGCTAAAGAAGCTGTGGTGAGAAGAGGAGGCGTCGTGCTTTGGATTCTTGGTCCAGTGAGGCCAGGTTAGGACTCTCCACTTACAGCCTCAGCCCCTTTCCAAGGCCAGCAAATAGCCTTATTCCTGGACCTTGGCTGTCCCACAGTGAGCAGCCCCGGTGTACCTGCCATCTTCAGAAAAATAGCCAGGTTGGGCGCCTGGGTGGCTCAGTGGTTTAAGCCGCTGCCTTCGGCTCAGGTCATGATCTCAGGGGCCTGGGATCGAGCCCCACATCGGGCTCTCTGCTCG